TTTGTTCTAAGTTCAGACATGCTTTTAGGGTTATGCATCAATAGTTTAAAACATGCTCATAATTAATTCCATCAATTCAAAGAAATTCATTTTAGAAAATAGGGCAGTTTTTGTACTTTAGTTTTGAAAATTCATTTCTCTTTAATCATGCATCCAAAAATTCTGAAACTTTAACATAATACTCTTCTCGGAGTTAAAAATACCCATTTGAAACAGTTTTCTAAAATATCTATCCAAGTAAGAGAAATACTTAAAACCGTACAGCTCTGTTGTCGAAAATCCAGAAACAGAGCAGTGACTTCAAAAATACCAAATAAAATTATATTCTTTTCAAAACACCGTGAAATTTTAACAGAGATTACATTTAAAAGTCTAATATCTAATCCAAGTAGAATCACAATGATCGGAGTACAAAAAGATCAGATTTAACATGCATTTCTTTCATGACTCACAATCTGTGAAGTTCCAGAAAATAAATCACAACTTAATCATTTTAAATCCAAATAATACCAACTTTATATCATATTTAAGATAACAGAGAGATCTATATTCTCTAGAAATTTTACATTTTTATAAAAATAAATCGTCTACGAAACGTGGCTTAAACTCCGTGACTATAAATCTGGAAATTTTAATCTAATCATCTAGTTCAAGATTTTAAACTCAATCATCCTATAATCATAGAATCCAATCATAAACACATAAGATTAACATAAAACATCAGTAAACTTAACATGCAATTCAATTTTAGTAAAGACCAAGGGGTCCTTACCCATTTAAAGAAAATTGAAGACAAGAGAAGGAGAAATCAAAGGATTCATGGAGGTCTTCGAGTTCTGGCCATGGATGGTCTTGGGATGCTTTGGGCTGAGTATGAAGGCTGTAGGAGGGCTGTTTTCTTGGAGGTTATTGATGAGAGAAACCTTTTATGAGTATATGCTGAATTATTGAGGGGAAAGAAGAAGGAGAATGGCTTGCTTCTTTGTGAAGAACAAGAGAAGCCTTTGGGATTATTTGAAGGAGAGAGTTGTCGTGGGTTAGAGAAGAGAGAGGGGAGAGGAATTTTGGCTGATGTTTTGGTGTGTGAAAATGAAGAGGAGAGGGTGGTATTTATAGAACTGGAGAGGCTTGGATCTTAATGAGTAAGTATTGAAGAGAGGTCTTTTTGCGATTTGGAGAAAGTAAGAATTACCTAGAGGGACTTGTTGACAATTTCATTTAAGTTATCTTAAAATAAAATGCTAAATGAAAAGTAAAGTGGAAATGCACATGGAATAAGTGTATGCATGCAACACATACAATCATAACCAATTTAAAGAGAGGGGGATCTAGAGAGTTTCTATAAAAAATACTATTTTAATTATCTATGCTTAGAGAATTATTTATTTCATGAGCAACTTCACTTAGCATTAAATCGGTTAACACATGTATGCATGTACATAGAATTCGGCCTTTAGATACATAATTAAATAATTAGTTACTTAACTCGAAATTAGCACATAGAGAGAAAGTTACTATCAATCAAGCATATACATTTTCTAGTGTGTGAAATAAATTCTATATGTACTAAAATTAAATCCACGTAAATCAAATAATTTCACATGTTCAATTATATTAAACACGGGAAATACATTTCAGTTATACATATAGATAATAAAATCAAGAATATTCATGCAAACATATAATGCACATTAGTTCACATAATTTCACATAAATAGCAAATAAAGCAAATTGAAAAGCAACTAATCAAATTTGGCACATAATTCACAAATTTCCAAGCAAATGTGACGTGAGGAAAAATAGATAACTAGACTATCGAGAACGCGGGATGTTACACAAATTCCCCCCTTATCACAGCCGTTGGATTTAAAAGATATCGATGGCACTACTAGAAAAATCGCTTATTATGACGCTGCAATGCGTCATAAAAAGTTACATATTGAGACGCTTGACCTATTGCGACGCCACACAAAAGCGTCACATAGGTGGCCGTGGTAATAGTTTATTGTGACGGTTGTCAAGCGTCCTAAAACATTATCAGTTGTGACGATGCTCCGCAACTTAAAAATATCTTTCTTGCGGCAGAATTTGGTGTCACGATATGATTCTTAACTTTCTTAATTGCTTGAATACGTGACATTCTAAAGCGTCACAAGAGATATTTTTATGACCAATAAAGCTGTCACAAAAAGTTTTTTTTTAGTAACACATCCTCGTGTCTCTGAAATGAAGAAATGAAGATTTCTTGTTATTACTTGTCAAGTTAAATAATTTATTGCAAGACCACTTTTAATACAAGACCAGACAAGTTCACTGTGACAGTAACAAATCTTTATCATAAAATTTATTGTCATAGTTTCAAACAAAAAAAAAATATATACAATATAAATATCATTCCTCAATTTTGTATACAACCAACGATATCAATACCGATTAAAGTTCATTTTCCATAAATCAATCATCTGAGAAGGAACTATCTTGAAGAAAAATATCATAACTTGTATCAACCCATCACGATATGAAAATCCATGTCCACATTATTCTCCATCCATAGAAACCTATTAAGACAATTGTATAAAAAATTAGTTGATCAATCAAAATGATTCTTGAATAAATGCATTTATATCAAAATATAATAGATTATTGTTGTTACTCTATACAATTGTATAACAATATTAAGAGTAACTAGTACTTCACTTTCCAAACGAGTTGCACCACATTCCATCTTTTTCATCAACATAATATATATGCATTCCAACAAATCATAATCCATATGTTAGTCCACGTTAACCAATTTCCAAGTTTTTGTTAAAGGTATAACTAAATTTTGACCACCTATACTATAATCTGAAAATGGCAAAGACTCCAAGTAAACAATTCAAATATGAGAAAAAAATAATTGAAACACCATAACACTGAATAAAAGGGAGAATGATGAGGACGAACCTCAACTTCAACTCAGAAAAGAAAATCCCCTTTCATTACTTCTATCTAACAACTAAATAATAAATAAGCATCTGCAATTACTTTCCGAGATAATAAAGACGAACCTCAATTTCAACTCAGAAAAGAAAATCCCTTTTAATTACTTCAATCTAAAAAACTGAAAATCAAGTATGAATACAAATACGAAATTAGTTTCCCAGATTGATTAGCATAAAAAGTAAAATGAACAAAACCCATTAAATTGTACCTATAATTACATGTAGAAGATCGGTTTTAGGTCTTCATCGCCTGTTATTGCGTAAAAAAAGAGAGGCAATTGTTAAGTGTGGCAGATCTCCTTCATATAGGTAAACCCTATTATAAGCCAAACACAAACATCTGTGTTTGAAATTCTTAATTGAAATCCAAGAAATAAAGCAAAAGGGAGATAAATGAAATGAATACCCTCCAGTGTTGAGCCTTGTCTAGTTTTAATGTATTTATCAAACTAAGAGAAACTAATCAAGTGAAAGAAACGAAGGGAACTTACCTGGTGGCTGGTATGAAAGATTGACTCCGCAAGAATTAGGGTAGTGCAAATAAGGATTTGGAGAAAATTAATATAAAATTAAAAGTTAAGGAATCATGTGAGCGGGAAAATGAAATGTTTTCTAAATTATTTTGTACTTTTTGGGCGCAAAATTTTCATTTCCGATGACATTTTAAGACGATCTACAAATATTATTCCAAAAAGCGTCATATAATGTAATTTTTTAGAATTAGAAAATACGTGCAAAGAAAACACACGGCGAATGAATTGCTTTTATTTCAAGGCGTCTTAATAGAATGGCTGTTGTGACGATTTTTGAAAGCTGTCATATTAAGGCGTCACGAAAAACTAATTTTCTAGTAGTGTGGTCACTAAAAGGCGTCACCTTGACTGGCGCGTCAAATCGTTTGATGTGTCAAAAAAAAGTTATTTTGGGTAGTTACAGCCACCCCCTTAACTATGTATCATCTTTGAAAAAGACGCGCCCATAGATAAATTTAGGGATGTTAATTCAGTAAAGCCGAACCGAAATTTCGGTACGCCAACATTTCATACCGTTTACCGAACAAAATATACGATTTGATTCGTAAATAATCGAATTATATAAATTTTATGCAAAAATATTTAATAGGAGAGTGTGGTTGTAATTACCCAAACAAGTGAGGTTTTTTCATAATTTGGCCATACTTCAGGGGTGGGCCATAATTTGCCAAAATTTTCACAAAATTAGTTACAAATAATACATACAACTAGTTTTGTGAAAATTTGTGAAAATACATAATTATTAGTTACAAATAATACATAATTATTAGTTACAAATAATACATACAACTAATTTTCACATGGGCTCGAGCTCGAGCCCATGTTGCCCAGCTCGAGCTCATCGAGCCAATTTTTTTTGGCTCGAGCTCGAGCTCGAGCTTATTTAATTTTTTTTTAATTTTTTTAATTTTTTTTTATTTTTTTTTTATTTTTTTTATTTTTTTTTTATTAAAATTTTTTTTTATCAAAAATTATTCAGAGGAAAATAAAAAAAATTATAAAATAAATAATGAACTCTAGTTATATATATTTTTTATTTTTTCTATTATTATTATTATATTTTATATTATTATGAATTATTTAAGTAATATAGATTTGTTTCTATTTAAATACTAGATATATTTATTATTATAGACTATTTACTATTTAGTTAATAATAATAAGAAGAAGAAGTAGAAGAATAAGAATAATATATATATATATATATATATATATATATATATATATATAAAGAAAGAAAAAAAGAAAAAAAGGCAGCTCGCGAGCCGGCTCGCGAGCTGCCGAACAACTAATTTTAGGCTCGAGCTCGAGCTCGTCTGAAGCTCGAGCTCGAGCTCGAAAAACCCGAGCTCGAGCTCGAAAAACCCGAGCTCGAGTTCGAGCTTTTTTCGAGCCGGCTCGTCGAGTTCGCGAGCCGGCTCGGCTCATTTACCGCCCCTAGTGTACAACAATAGCCCCAATTTTACAAATTCATATTTGACTGATATAGTCAGATTTTTCTCTCAGCAGAGAGAAGTATTTCACTATTTTGACTCCCGAAAACGAAAAGCGAAACTGCCCCATTTGAGAAGAAACACTTTAGCAGCAGAGAGGGTTTTCTATCCGGTACATTCAGCGTCGAGTGTCGAGTTTCCAGCTATGGCGATGAACACGGGGGCGGCCGATTTGGCTCAGCTTCAAGCCACCATGCAAGCAATTGAGGTCGCCTGCCATGCTATGCAGGTTTGTTCAATCGATTTCTATAAAATCACAAAACCCTCGCCGTATCGAATATGTTAGTTTTTTTTTTAGGAGTTTTCAGACATTCTCTCGATTCTCGAGTGATTGGATATGGTAACTGAAACAAGCGGAAATTCATATTTATACATTTCTGCTTGAATGAAATAATTGTTGGGGATTTTATGGTTCTCTCGTACTTTATAATCTCTGGTTTGATGGAATACGATGAGAAGACGAATATGAACATTGCAATTTGGTTTAATTAGGGTATCTTGTGTGAAATTGGTTGCAGGAGGTTCATTTTGTGAGATGCTTTTGAGAATTCCTGTTGTCCAGACTTTATGAATCAAATATTTGATTTATGATTTGGATGTTGCGATTCATTATTCAGCTAGATTCTTCGCATGTAGTGTTGTTCGTTATCGGACGACACTTGTCTTAGGGTTGTGTAGAAAATAATTATTTGTTAAAGTTCTGCAATGTGCTTAATTATCGTGCCGGCTTCTTTGAAGTTCAGAAACTAATTGTGTGATAATTTAATCATCAAACTAATCACAAATTCTTGATAAAACTGGTAGGGTTAAGCTGGTTAAATATAGGATATCTTGTATCATATACTTATATGATTTATTGTTGTGGAATTCATGTATATCTAAACTACTGTCAGTCCAGAGCTAGTTTTATAATAGGTTTTGCGTACTTTAACAACGTTATAAGTCATGCTTGACCGGTAAGTCGACCGAATTTGAAAAAGGGCCGGACGGTCTTAATTAATTTATTCGAATCTTTGTTGTAAGTTTTGATGTTTTCATCCCTGTTTATTTTATTTGTTTGATTTTATTTATAATGATGTATGGGCCTAGTGATATGAGTGGGCTAAACTGTGCAGATGCATGTCAATCCAGCTGCTGCTGAAGCAACCATAGTATCCTTGAGGGAGTCTCGTCGCCCTTACCAGGCGTGTCAATTCATTATAGGTATGTTTGTCAGTTATGCACATCTCTTTATAGTAATCAAAGCGAACGACATTGCTTCTTACTAGAAGTAGCTTGATCTTTCAGAAAATTCTCAAATGGCAAATGCAAGATTTCAGGCTGCTGGAATAATAAGACATGCAGCTCTACGAGAATGGGGTCTCCTTGAGGCTGATGTTAGAAGAGGATTGGTCAGGTAACTTCAGAAGTTTAGTTTAGTTTGTGATCCGATACTTTTAAGTTTAGTTTAGTTTGTGATCCGATACTTTTCATTATATTTAGTTCTCCATCTATATTGTCTTTGTCTATTGTCGTTGGGTTTGTAAAAGTAACAGCTATTTCGCTGAATTCATAAAAATAAAACACTCTGCAGCTTTAACGTTTGACCTATTTTGCACTTACGTAAGCCACATGCCTTGCTTTGCTACATATATGTATAGATTATAAATTCAGCTTCCAGAGAGAATTCTTTGTATGCTGGCATATTGCATTTTAGTCATCACTGATTTTTGTTTTATTTCATGCAGTTTCTGTTTATGCTTTATCATGAAACATGCTACGCTACCTGACGGTTATGTCCTGGTGAAGGTTGCATCACTGGGTGCTCAATTACTGAAAAGGGGCTGGTAAGTGTCTGCTCTCTTTGCTTAAGATAAACAAAAGAAAAACAAAAGAAAAATTGCAATTATGAACACTCTCTTTACAAAAACTCAATTCAACATATTGTAATGAAAGTCTAATATTCTAAGTTGTGCACTGAGATTGAAGGATGACTTGCTTACTTAGGTTGAGGTGCTTTCTATGTTTAACTTAGATCTTTGTGGTATCTTTCACTGCCTTATTTAGTGTTTTTTTGCCCTTCTCTCATGGAATAGTCTGCGCTGTATTCAGTTCTGAAAGTGATTACAGTGGGTTTGTCATAAAATATGGCTTAGAACAAGTATTGCCTTTCTCTTTTATTCTTTATTTAAAATATCTGCGTTTTCTATTTTCCTTTTTTCTTTTTCTTTTTTTCCTTTCTCCATCTGAATTTTGTTAAGATATAAGTCAATTGGAAGTTTCCTGTTTTTTGACTTGATATCCATTTCTCAGTAATATCTGCATTCACACCGCCACTTAGCCATGGGTGCAATATGAAGATCTTCTAATTGGTTTTGTTTCTGTGGTCTTCATGTAGGCTAGATTTTACAGCTGCGGAGAAGGAAGCATTCTTCATCCAGGTAATGATGACTAAAATTTTATGTTGTCCGCACATTAGTTGTCTTAAAAAAAGTACAACAGTTATGTTAAACAAAAGTACAACAGTTAGACACCAGAATCCAAAATTTGAATCCCTCATCGGTGGTGGTATTATTCATGAAGAAGTAATGTAAGGTTTTCAATAAGAAGCAAGAGAGACTAACATTTGTATTTTGAGGCTGCTTAACATACTTGGTGTTTTTGGTTCTTGTGCAACCGCTTTTCCAGACTTGACAAACCTTTGAGTTATATGTTGCAGGTGAAACAAGCTGTTAGTGGGGTCCATGGTTTGGATGTACAGTTTGTTGGAATCAGTTTTCTTGAATCTTTGGTATGCTTCTCATCAATGATACGTGGAAAGCTACCATGTTGTTTCTGCTCTAAAACTTTTACGGTACCAGTTATTTTCTCATTCAGAGCATGTACATGGTATATTCAAATAGGTATCTGAATTTTCACCCACTACATCCTCTGCCATGGGCCGTCCTAGAGAATTCCACGAGCAATGCCGGATATCACTAGAGCAAGACTATATGAAGGTATGACATTAATCATAAGTTTCTGATGCTTAAAATTTTTCTTTTGTCTCTTTTTTCACTTCTTCTCATCCGTATTCTTCTTTGTTATGACACTTCAGGGACTCTACAGTTGGGTGCAACATGCTGCTTTTAATGTGTCAAATAGAATTACTGAAGCCGACTCTGAAATTCCTGAAATTAAAGTCTGTTCAGCAGCACTACATCTGATGCTTCAAATCTTGAATTGGGACTTCCAAAGCAAGAAAGCTGGCGAGAATTCGAAAAGAGGGTTAGATGTGTTCTGTGATGGGAAGCAAGAGAGTAACTCACTCAGAAGGTTTGAATGTACCTTGGTGCAGGTGAGTGGTAAGATCGGTGATGTGCAAGCATGAGAAAATGAGCTTAACTTTGAATTTTTTGACTAAAACTTTATGGGGCTTGCTTTCTCTATACACTGGAATTTTTAGCCTCAAGAATGTCCGTATACAAACATGTGAAGCTTGAGTTTGACTAAAAAGAAACTAAATTGTTCTCCATTTACAAGAATAAAACAGATAAAAAGGTTTTTCTGAAGGGCATTTGTAGTGAGATGATTAGTTTGTGTTGTGAGGTTAAATTAATTTTTTTTTTCTGGACCAACCTTTATTAACAATTTATTTAGGGCTATTTACAGCCGCATCCCTTCGGAATAGTATAATTAAAGAGTGTTCCCCTCACTCTTTCACGAGCTTACAATGTTTAAATCGTACTCCCTACTGATAGAATTTTGGATGGAATTCGATTGATGTAAGGGAAGAACTGACAAGAATTTCCAACTTTATCCTTGACCTCAAAATAATTTTTAATGTTTATATTTACAGACAAAGCGGGTCAATTGACTTGACATCAATGGTCTTGGTTTTGTTTATTTCTCTTATAGCCTGGTCCTGAATGGCGTGATGTCCTGATTTCAAGTGGTCATGTTGGATGGCTTCTGAACTTTTATACTGCTCTAAGGAAAAAGTTTTCCTGTGAAGGTTACTGGCTTGACTGCCCTCTTGCAGTTTCCGCTCGAAAACTTATAGTACAATTTTGCACCTTAACAGGCGCAATCTTCCCATCAGGTATATTTTATTCGTACCTCTTCATAAATAGATGGTTGTTTCGGTACATCCTGTCGTGCAAAACATTTTTGTGTTTTTCCCTCCGAAGATATGCTAAATATCAATCAACAATTTACTGCAAAAGAGCACTTTTGTTGGTGCTTTTAAGGATGTCTTGATTTCTGTTTTTACCTAAGAAAATGGATGTGTAGAGAGGTCCTTTAGTTAGGATCATATTTTTATGTGAACATTGATGAAAGCTCATCTTAGGTGATTGAAACAATTCTTTCTCCATCTATTACCTTAAACATGCAAAAAGGGTCATCCGCAAATCCGTCAAGTGCTAGTTTTGATATTTGTGTAATTTTATTTGATTGGTGAAAAATACCAATCCAGTTCATGAATGAGGAGATTGTTCAAATAGGCCAATTTCACAAAAGAAATCAAGGGAAATATCTTGGGTTTTATCAACTTTGTGATGCTTCCTTGAAGTATACCTACCCTGAATGACCTTTATGTGGTTTCACCTTTTCTTGAATTTAGCTGATTTAGTAAAGCTCTTGCAGACACTCTTACTCTGTGTTTCACGTAGGATTAAGTAGTTTTTTTACTATAGAATGATTGAGGCTGTTTGCCCCTTTCACTGCCATGGTTTTGTTCTTCCTAGTCAGTTATCTCCAGTGTTGGTTAATGTAAATTGCGCTCCAACTTTAAGCTGCATGCCATTACATACTTGGTTTCTGCAGAAAATGGAGATATGACTTTACCCTTCTGCTGACTATCCATTAAGATTTGGCTCAGACCTATGTGTTAACCTTAGGCTTGTGCTTTCTGTTATTTCTTTATATATTTCTTTGCCTTTCTGGGAATTTTCCAACCATATATTGTTCTTTGTTTTATAACTGGTTATTACTTTCTGGTATGTGTTCACTACTGAGTGCTTTGAAATAGACAGCGGGCACATGCAAAGGCAGCACCTTCTGCAACTGCTAGCAGGAATTGTACAGTGGATGGAACCTCCAGATGCTGTTTCTGATGCAATAAAATCGGGAAAGAGTGAAAGGTATGGATTCAATAGTTACGCCTCTCTTGTTGCATAAGATATTGTTTGGCTTTATTCTTATTTGATATTCTCAGTGAACTGTTGGATGGCTGCCGTGCACTTCTGTCTCTGGCAACTGTGACGTCCCCACTAATATTTGATGAGCTATTGAAATCTTTGAGGTCAGTAATTTTAAGCATCTTAACTCTTAACAAATAATTTGAACTTGAAAATCTGCTTGTCACTTCATTGCTTTAACAGAGTGTATTTTGAAATAAATATTTGTTTAGGAAATAAAGTAGTATTCGTGGGGACTCAAAGATGAAGTTAAATGATCAGCCCTAATGGAAGGGTATTATTTTTGCATATGATTTTTTTAAAGAATTGAAGGTTTGACTTGATATGCAGGCCTTATGGCACCCTTACTTTATTATCCGCCGTGATGTGTGAAGTCTTTAAAGACCTTATGACAAATCACACAGAAGAGGATACATGGAGCTCGGAGGCACGCGATATTTTACTGGATACTTGGATCGTCCTTCTTATGGTATATCATTGCTGCCTTAGCTTATGTTCTTCTTATACTCTGTAACTGCATATACTTATCATTTATCATCTTTTTTTATTGAGTGTACGGCTTAGTACACTACAATCATCAATAATACTTTATTTTTGAGTTATCAATGTTCTTAAAGCTGCTTGCTGACAACTTATACACTAATTTCGATGTTGTTATTATCTAAACTCTACCATAGGGGAGTGTATGTAGATTTGCTTCATTTTTCATGTAATGCCTATCTTTTAGTTCTTTGTCTTTTTGAGGCATGGAGTGATGCATGAGTGTCAGTATCGTCGTAGTTAGGTTTTGGCAGTATAACTTGTTTGTTTTGAATGCCTTTTTTCTGCTGTGCTTTTTCGTTTAATTAACTACAGCAGTTGGACGCGAGTGGACATAATCATTCACTTCCAGCTGAAGGCATTAGTGCTGCAGCCGATCTCTTTGCAGTGATTGTAGAATCTGAATTAAAGGGTAATATTTTGTTAAATCTTATGCAGCTCATTTTATTTTTCCCTTTTGGCCATATATTGTCGTATTTTAACATTGTTTTCTCAATAGCCGCTTCTGAATCAGCCTTTAATGATGATGATGAACATGATTATCTTCAGGCTTCCGTTACTGGTAAAATTGTTAACTCGGCGTATTTCATTTTCTTTTTCTATATTAACATAATAGTGATTGCAACTTTAATCATCTGTGGAACCCTAATTGCACTTTATTTATAGCTATGGATGAGAGATTGAGCTCTTATGCTCTTATTGCTCGAGCAGCTATAGGGTCCGCAATCCCTCTACTTACCAAACTTTTCTCAGAGCGTATCATGAGGCTTCATCAGGTACCTTGTAACTTTATATGTACTCAACTCTATGCTGATGTGATTAACATTTTATATTGCCACTGCATTTAAATGGAAGTCTCAAAGTCTACTTGATAAGGATATTCTTCATCTGGGGAAGTAATTTTTCCACTCCCACCATAATTGATGTATTCATATTTGGAAAGCAGTAATAAGCAGTGGTGCTGTACATCCAATACTTTCCTATAATAAGGGGCTATAGTAGACAATTGTCCTTGGGAATCTTGTCTCTTCGAATAAGCCTTGTCTAACAAACCAATGCATTGCAGAATCTTTATTGGGTAATCTGTTCCAACTAAAACATAAATAGTTAGCTAGTCATAAATGTTGTTCCTCAATTCCTCATGACGTCCTCCTCCTTGAACATACAAATTCTTTCCATTCTTATTCTTATCATATCCCTTTATCTTGAAGAAGCAGTGCTCGGTGCTCCAAAGAAAGAAGTAATTGCGTATTGTCATGAAATTTTATATTTTTTCTCCTTATTTATCCTTTTAGCATTGATTTAATTCATGTGATTCCTGGCATCGGTTTATTTAGGATTTCATGACTGTGACTCCAACTCAGTGAAATAGGGATGTATTAATTTCTGTCCCCAGTCTCTCTGGCTCTCATTCTTCACATCACACCCAGAGCTTGGATGTGTCATTGGTTTGAGGACTGAACTATGTAAAGATGATCAATTTTCTAAAAAAATGGTCATAGCATACTTGTCTGCAAATATGGCAAACAAAACTGAGGCCACTTTCGAAGGAGAAATGTATAATAAAATTAGCTGTTTTTATGGATCTTGTTTAATAGCTGGTAGTTGGTACTTTGACTAGGATCAGAAATCATTAAAGAATGAAAGCTTCATATTTGGAGTCTTATAGCAGCATTTGATAGTTTCACTCGATGATATGCGGTTCAACGCTTTCCTTGTCAGTATCTCTGTATAGTTTTATCACATGATTTATGGATTTCCTTTCTCGTTATCAATTATCACTTTCTATTTTGTAAAAGTGGGTACTTTGATCCATGATTCTATTGCAACTTTTGGTTTATTTCTGTAAATGTGTGCAGCATCAAGGACTTCTTCAATCAGTACTTTCTTCTTTCGTATTTTCATGCTAATGTAGGGCAGAGGCATAAGTAACCCAACTGAAACATTAGAAGAACTTTATTCTCTCTTACTCATAACTGGGCACGTGTTGGCTGATGAAGGACAGGGTGAAACCCCTTTGGTAATGTTATTATTTTTTTCCTACTGTTGTTTGCCTTTATTTTTTATTTTTGTGTTGATTATTTTTATTCAGTAGTGTTCTTGAAGCGGCCTCAGTATACCCTTGGGAGAGTTTGTCCTTTTGGCTTGTATTGTTTGTCTTAGATGCAACAACTTGTGATGCATTTTTATTATGTGAAATGCTATGTTCTTTTTATCTATTCATTTCTTCCCCACTCAAAACACATTATCCACAAGGATAGTTGAAGGACCTTTCTAGAAGTTCGGTCACTCTCCAGAATATTACAGATTAGGAGATTTTAAAAGGCAGTCTGCCCACAATGGCGTGTCATATCTAATAATCATTAGGAGAATTACGGTCGTCTTTTCTATCGATTGTCCACTATTTACTAAGGCACTTTAGGAGAGACTTTAGTTATTCCCACGATATGGTTGAACAGTTCAAGTTTCATCTTCGATGAATGATATCTTGACGTGGATCTTCGGTATTGGTGAAGCATGCAAATTAAAATATTGTGGAATAGCTCTTCAGAATCAAGCTCCTTGAGTATGACATTGAATATCAACCATTTTTTTGCTTTTCGTCTAAATATCATCATAATTTCATCACATATATTTGGAATATTTTGTTTTCTTTTTCATTTGGTTATATCATGTTATTGTAAGATTTTTTAACATTAAATACTGAAGTTTGGTGATATGGGCCCTACACCACAGCGCTTACGCTGCACATGCGAAAGCGTGTAAGGCCCCAACCTGCAATTTCACCTTTTCGAATAGTGCCTTATGGTTCATGACATATCTCACTTCTGTTTGACATTATTGGAATTATTATAGCACACGTGTTCACATTCACAATTCTAGGTTCTTAGGAACAATGAATATGGAATTTTCAGGTGCCAAAGGAGATTAAAAGCCATTATGCTAACGTATTGGAGATGGATAAACACCCAGTTATCATGCTTTCTGGGTAGGCTTCCTTATTGTATTTCGGGAACGAAGTTAGTCAGTTTGATTGGAATTTGTTAAATCAGTGTTATCATTCTTGCTCATTGAAACGTCATGATTGTGTCAGATGCTTGCAAAGTCAGTCAATTTGCACCTTCGTAAATGTTCTTAACCTTATATGTAAAAATAAGTTGCAGGACATGCTTATTCAAACAAGTAGTCTTGTATAAGTTCTGATAATTCTTTAAATCTGGCTATGATCTCTGATAAGAAGTTTGTTTTTACTGAAGTGTACAACTTGCTTTGACGCCCGTAGAAATGCTAATAGTTTTTTAAACTTGTTTATTGCTTCTGATCCTAACATACGAAAGCTCAGTTATGAAGAGGCACAGAATCCTAATATTGCAGATCAGTTCTGATGGACGTATGAACTTGTTCTAGCACAATTGATTTATTATTGCCATAAAATGTAATCAAACTGTCTTTTGCCCAGTTCTCAGGATTTTCATTAACTATTTCCCTTATTATTTCCAATTTAATATACACATAGTTCGGAAATAATGGGAATATGTGGAAAGAAAATCTTGTAAAACAGAAGGGAAATGATAGACCTCTCTTGTTTATTATACCCGTCTCCTCTGTTTGTGTCACATGATTGCAAATCAGTAGTTACATTACCCTGTTAGGTTTTTGATATTGCCATATGATATCTCCAAGACTCAATGAGCTATATTACCTTATCATGTGTATTGGTCATCAACCAAAACTTTTTGATGGCTGCATGAACTGATGTAATAAATATTAGTAATGAGTTGTAGCCTTGTAGGTTGAAATAGTAAAAGAGATAACACAGTGAAAGAGGGATGTTTGTCTCTTAATAAGGTTGCTCACTATGAGTTTGTCATAAATCATCTTGCACAAATATATACCGGTAAAAAGAACAAGAACTCAATTATTAGGACGGTGGTTAGTGTTATGCTTAAAACGAGTATTGGATGTTGACTGCAATTATGGTAACCTGGAGTAATTTTATGTGAACATGTGCATAGCTGAACACAGCTTAACTTTACTATGCGACTTCATGGGAATATCTGAGTTTGCAATAATCTCTGAGCACATTATTACTTGTCGTCAATTATATATTCACGTACATTGTAAAAATATTGACTGCTTTACGGTTGAGTTCATATTAGTCCATGCTTACTTCCCCAGGAATACATCAGCATAGATGATTCTGTTTAGAATTTTTTATATTAACCGTTAGGATGAATATTTGGTAGTTCTGAGTTCACTTTCTTGCTTTCTCAATTCTCCATGGAGTGTACTCATTTATTTTTTGGACTTTTGCAGTTCAATTATAAAGTTTGCTGAACAAAGTTTAGATCCAGTAGTGAGAACATCGTTTTTCAGTCCTCGACTCATGGAGGTATTAATTTATCTCTCATTGCCAACTTGCTTCATTGCCTGTTTCATTGTTCTAGGAACAAATGTCCCACAAACCTCTTTTTGCCATGGGTTGATCACTTATGTTCCTCAAATGAAATTGATTTGTTGGAGTGATGTTTGGGACAGAGTGATAAGTTTTAAATAGTGGAGGTATTCCAAAAAGACATCTTGTTGATTTTCATACAGGAAACCAAGTTAGGAACTATTAATAGGGAATTGATTGGAACTTTTGGTATTCGAGGTTCAACAGGGGGAGATGCCATTGTGTAAGGCACATGGCATTCTTGTTGCGTAGTTTAGAAGCTGGCATGATGTTCTAAGATAGATAATAAAATGGCCAGCATTTAATTAAGTAACTCAAAGAATGTTTAGATCATAACTTTTTGAATCAGCTGCGAAGTGCTTAAATATTGTCAAGATAACAAAATATGTACATACAGAAATCTCCAGAGTGTTGTTTTTGTTTATGGCTTGGTCTTCTGTTACCACTTTACACACCTTAATAGTCAAGGATCAATCTGTCCATCTTTTCATGTGATATATCCAGCCGATGCTTAACATTTTAACTTGCATAAATATTAGTTGCGATTAAACTTTGGTATCTTGAATTTCTTTGAAGTTCTCCTTTGCATTTTCTTATTGTTCCTTGGCATTAACATGTTAGACCTAACACTACAGGCAGTTGTGTGGTTCCTTGCAAGATGGTCTTTAACGTACCTGATGCCATCCGAAGAAAGTGTAGAACATAGAAGCAGCTATGAAAATTGTAATGATGCCCTACTTCGATCTAAGCACCCTACAAATGCGTTGTTTAGTTTCTCTGGAGAGAATGATCGAGGAAAAATTGTCCTTGATATTATTATTCGAATCTCTTTGAGTACACTTGTTTCATACCCTGGGGAGAAGGACTTGCAGGTATGGGTTCTGCAGATTTCTTTTGGATGTAAGTTTATCTATATATACTTATGGAAGTCCCTTCTGTGGGTTCAGCCAATTTATTTTTCAGGGTTATAAAGTCACTCTACCGGTTATTTTTTCCTTCAACTCCATGCCTTATTTATCTGACTGATTGAAATATGACTGTAATTAGTAGAGATAAATTTTTTATCTGAAAATATGGTATGTTGAAGGGACATTACAACTGTTCATGATTTTGTTCCATGACAGGCACTCACATGTTACCAGTTGCTTCATGGACTTGTTAAACGGAAGAGCATTATTACCCACCTTGTTACTTTGGTCAGTAGCATCTTATTGCATACATAAAGTGCCTGTAATTTGTTTTTTCTTTATTCAGTTTGTTATTACTGGGACCGTGCTTTCTTGTGTTGTGTGTTCTTTTTTTCATGTTTTTTTTTTTTTTTTTTTTCACGCGTTCAAGAAGGTATATTCCCTGTTCGCCTAGGCTGGATGTAACTAACACTGTAGGTAGTTTAATCAGGTGCTTTCAATTGATTACAACAGTTCTATTTTTATACACTACGGCGGTTTACTGTTCTATTTTACCATTCTTCATGTATGATCGAGTCCAAGCATAGCTTTCATTGTCGAAATGGACTCAGGTGCTTTAAATTGGTTACAACAGTTCTATTTTTATATACATCATTGAAAAATTGGTAATCCATCATTTGAGGAAAGAACTTTACATGGTAGGATCCATGTATGTACAGGGACTCCCTCAACCATTAGCATCTATTAATCTTTTCAGTGATCTCTAAAGTAGTTGGAATTGTATTGCGAGCCAAATTCTTAAAAGAATTCCCCTGGTCCATTTACAGTTTGATGATTCAGTTAGTGGAAGGTTAAATTTGCTTGTGTAAAAGTTTATTCATGGAAGAAATTATACCCTGGGCTCAGATATTGCTTTTTTGCAGTACTAAAGGAATTTGTGTAAGTAGAGGATTGACTACTTCTAGTCTTATGGTCTGAAGAAGATTTGATGGTCGGATTTTCACTTCTTTAACAGTTATGATCGATGTTTGTCGAAGAACGGGCAAATCGTTTTGCTATATTGATATAAATGATAACTTCCAATGATATTCACTTAATTTACTGCAGATTTTGGCCCGTTAAACCTAATGGTCTATCGTATTATTAAATTCCTATTGGCGGCTCTTGAAATATTTGATGTTATATATGCAGGACTCATGGCGTGACTTAGCAAATGCTTTCGCTAATGAGAGAGTTATTTTATCATTAAATGCTGCTCACCAGGTAATGAATTGTAATTTGTCATTGTTTCTTTTTTTTTCGAGATTACATGATCTTGGAAGAAAAATTTGTTTATCCTAGCTTCTGTTGGCCACTCTCTGTTTCATGGACAGCAAACTAAGAAAATATCAATACTGATTTTCTCCTGTCATGTTGTTGGCGGACAAGGGCATATAATGTAGATGATATATGTTCAACATACGTCTTCTCTGCTCTTCTCTGTTTCATTCTTTTTCATTTACTTGCTAGCTCTAGTTTTCTGTGATTTCTTTCATTCTTTCTACGTCACTTGTACAGAACACCATCCTTCTTCCGTGGTGCTTAGGTAAAGATTATCATATTCATTCTTTCATTTCAGCGTTCGTTAGCTCAGACACTTACTGTGTCAGCTTGTGGCATGAAAACTCCTGAGTCATCGAATGAGTGAGCTTCATTTTTTCTCACGGGCTTCAGTTATTTTCATGTTATAGTTATCCAAGTTACCTGATCTTTTTTTCCAATTATCTGTAGGTACATAAGAAGTCTGACAAGTCATATGACTGCCTACTTGGTGGAATTGTCGAGCAAGAATGATCTCAAAGCCATTGCTCAACAGCCTGATATTATTTTGTTGGTAAAGTTTGTGAACTATGCATTGAATGTATTATTATATACAAATTATAATATATTGGATGTCACCATGATAACCCATAGGTTAGTTGCTTGTTGGAAAGGCTTCGTGGAGTTGCCAGAGCCTCAGAACCTCGTGTACAGAATGCAATTTATCAAATGGGGTTCTCAGTGATGAACCCCGTCTTGACTTTTCTTCAAACATACAAAGACGAGGTAGAAATAATACATCATCTTTTTTTTTTTTTTTTTTTTTTTTTTCTGAAAATCTTATCGCTACCTGTTTTAGGAGCATAGTTTGAAGTTGAACTTATGTAAATCTCTCTTATTTATGGGAATGGTTAGGGAGATAATCTATGAAGGTTCCAAGAAACTGGTTAGGGCATTAACTGACTCATTCCGGATATGGGCATGACTTTGGTATATGGTGGAATGACAGTTAGGATATCTAAAACTGAAAATGAAAAAAAAAGAAGATAAATGTAACCACATAATTTACGAGTTCTCTGAAAACGAATTGATGTTAGAAAAAGCGCATACCATAGCCTTATAGTTATAGTGCAACATTGTGACTGGACCACAGGGCCTACGCCCACCACGCGACTTGGTGTTTTTTATATTTATCAAATAATGTGCCTAAATTTTGAAGGAATAATTAGATTTTCCGTCCTTATTGTTACACACTTATTCGCGTTAAGTATAATGAATTCTGTTAACTCTAGGATTTTCCCGTGAATAAAGTATATATTGTTTTTGTAAGAACCGCATGAATTTTACTTCTTTGGTCATTCATGGTGTTATTGTTTTTATATTTGATCATTTTTTTTCACTCATTGTTTCTATTGTTAAAATACTGAAAGTTTTTGCTTTGAGAATGACTAATATGTTGTTTTACATTTTTCCTTATCTAGTCTGTAGTTGTCTATCTTCTACTCAAATTTGTCACCGATTGGGTGGAAGGCCAAATCATCTACTTAGAGGCTCAAGAAACTGCGGCTGTGGTTGAATTCTGTATGCGTTTACTACAGCTTTATTCAGCTCACAACATTGGCAAGGTAAAAGGTTTGGGCCTCAAGCTCAGTTTTAATAGTTATATGTAAAGAGAAGAAATAAAGTATATATAAACCCACAGTTCCATTTTTTGGATTTAAATTTTTTAACAGGCATTTAAACCATCAGTTCCCTTTTGGGTGGTTTTGAATTCTTGTAGATTTCAAACGGTAGCCAAATTCATCTAGCAATTTATAGTTGTTTATGGTGGATGCAAAGTTTTAATCAATTGAAGTCATTTAACATTTCCCCTATTCTCTTCTACTTATTGCCTTGAAGGAACCATGATTTAGTGTGTGACTTGACCTTTCTGAAATGTCTTATCTTGTGATGACTCGGGCAATGATCAATATTACTACGATAGTTTTGGGAAGTTTGATCCAATAGATCAGATCTGAATATTATCATATCATTTTATTCCTTTTACATAAAAAAAAGACAAAAAAGAGAATGTCCAAAGGATTATTGCTATATTTGCTTGTTAACAAAATTGGGAGATGTTCATATATGAAACTTTTCTTTCCAAGATCTTGTTTGTTTGTAACTTCTATATTAAGCATAGAAATAGAATGTATAGTTGCACTTCCAAAATGATTCACATTGCACTATTTTAGCAACAGCACATAGCTATTTATGGAGGAAAGTATGAGTGTCAGGTGATTGTGTGTATAAGTTCAGATTGTTGAAGAGGTTAGTTTCACAGTTGACCTGATACACTTGGATTTGATCATTTCCAAAGAAATTGCTGTGTAGGATTTTGTGGTACACCAGCGATGTCCCGTCTTTAACTATTGTTATGTTATTGTCTCTTTTAATGAAACATTTTGCTGTTGAATGGATATTAGAATTGATAATGCTATGCTAATAGTTATTCTTACTCCCTAGTAGCTACAATTGACCCCAACCATTTGACTTTTTTCGCAGATTTCGGTTAGCCTTTCAAACAGCTTACGTACAGCAGATGCAGATAAATATAAGGATTTACGGGCGCTTCTGCAACTTCTCTCAAATCTATGTTCAAAAGATCTGGTAATTTCTGTTACCCATTTATTCAAATTAACTATGTTACTTTCTGATCCTCTTTTCCCATCACAGCCCCTTTCAATTCCTTTAGCTGAAACTGTGTGATTTCTTTACAATATCTTCATGCATTTAAAAAAAAAAATCTTATAATCAGCACCTGGATCCAGCTAGTAACAACATTCATTGATTTGGTGTTGACGAAATTATTATCATAAATATACATTTGTTTATTTACTTGATACTTGTGCTTGGTTTTAATATATGGAACACCTATATGGCATATACCATGTCAGTCATGATTCAAAAGCACGACTATCTTTTTAGTTAATTAACTGCTTGCAAGTATGAAGTGTTCTTATTTCATGACCAAATTTTGTGATGCGACCCCTTGTTTCTCCCATTCTTAGGAAACTTCTTTCCTTATTATGACTCTATTTTTCCATCTATATAATATTTGGCTTATTCATTAGTAGTACGATTCTGGATTTTCTGTTATAACGAAACATATTATGGTTATTGATTAAAGCACCCACAAAACCTCAATTTATTATCTGACATATCTACCAACTATAGTTTCTGTGATGGTATGATTATTTTGACTTTTGCACTTTTGCTTGGGCAAGCCTCTGTATTTGTATACATTATTATTTGAACCTAGTGGTGAAAATTCTTACGTCTAAGTTAACAAAATAGAGCCAATCAAGATGTACACGCAACAAAATAACCATGTGAAACTTCCTAATTAGAGGGAGGGAGAGAGTCATTTCACGTTAGATATTCAACGGAAGCAGTGTGTAATTTTCTTTAACCCTTCTGCTTGTGTTTTTTACTTGTCCTTAATGGTTTAACCGTTTAAGTCATTGTGGTTTATGCATTTGTGTAAAAAATATTGCCTTTGGATTTAATGCTTGCAAGTTCAAAACAAAAATGATTCCACAGGTTGATTTTGCATCCGAACCCATAGAGGCTTATGGTACAAATATTTCTCAGGTATGCAATGAAAGATACTTAATCGTGGTAAAACAAAGTTGTATGTTCTGATTGAATTTCACTTGCAGGTAGTATATACGGGTCTTCACATAATAGCTCCTTTGATAACTCCGGAGCTGCTGAAATACCCTAAACTTTGCCACAGTGTAAGACCCTTCTCTTATTGTATTAGAGGAGTCAGTTTTTTTTTTTTTTTTTTTTTTTTGTGGAAATTAATATTTTCTTCGACAGTATTTCTCATTGCTATCACATCTGCTGGAGGTTTATCCTGAAATTATCGAGCAGCTTAGCGTTGAAGCCTTCAGTCACATACTTGGAACTCTTGATTTTGGTCTTCATCATCAGGTAATGCACGATCCAGAACCTATATTTTTTTATGTCGACATAAACGTCTCAGCTCGGAATTTGTGATTCTAATTGTCCGGAAAGATGTTTCCCTTCTTCAGTATGCTACTAAATCCTTTATTATGATTATTTTTTATTTTATTTTTATGATTTCTCTTGTTTGTGATTAGGACGTTGAAGCTGTAGATTTGTGCCTAAGAGCTGTGAAAGCACTTGCATCACACCATTACAAGGACAGAGGTGCTGGTAAAATTGGTTTAGGATCACATGCTACAAGTTACAATGACCCTAATGGAAATTTTCACGAAAGCGTTCTCAGTCGGTTACTTCGCTCGTTGATGCAACTTCTTCTTTTTGAGGATTACAGGTAAAATGCGAAGAAAGTTTTGAACCCTATTAGCGAGAACTAGAAGAAACTGTTTCATAGATAACAAGACGAAGCTAAACAGAGTGCATAATTTTGTTTTAATTCTCCAGCAGTCATATATCCATGCATCGTTTTATTGCAATACACGTCATAGATATTTTTTGGAGTCCTGAAACACTGTATGATGCTTGTCTTAATTTATGTTACAGCACCGAGCTTGTTAGCTCCGCAGCTGATGCGCTTCTTCCGTTGATACTGTGTGAACAGAGTGTTTATCAGGTATCTACAGCTACATCTTATTATTTCATATAGACTTCAATTATACTTGATAAAAAGTAAAGACTTTAGCATGTTGCAACATATTGGTTTCAATAATTTATACATTCAATTTACTTGATAACATAATCAGATTTGAGCATGGGGTAACATCTTGTGTTTAGAGACATTATTTACTGACAAAATTACCAAACTTGAGGGGAAAGTTCTTTAGAGAAAGTTCGAGTAATTTTCTGAACTTAAATGCGTGAAGGTGTAATTCGATCTAACTTTGAGGGAAAATGGTGTAATGTACCAGTAGAAAGAATATTTTTATGACAGTAGAAACGTCATTTATTAAATTTCGGTTGAATATCAACCTGAATTAAACCTCAAGGGAGGTTTGCTAATTTTTCAAACTCGAAGGGTTTATGTATAATTAGACTTCATCTCATTTGATTTACATTTTTTGAAATGCTAAGCCTTGATACTAGAGAATTAGAGATAACTTTGCATCTTTCTCTTGCTTTATATTGTCAAAAAATGGTAGTGAGTTTATATTTGATCTTTCTCGTGAACATTTTAATAATTTCAGACTTACATTACCTCTTGCAGAAATTAGCAAGTGAGTTGATAGAAAGGCAGACGAACCCAGTATTTAGATTTCGGTTAAGGAATGGCTTCCAATCACTCACAACTTCAAATAATCTTTCTTCAACACTTGACCGCATAAATTACCAGAGGTTCAGAAAAAACTTGCACAGTTTTATTGAAGACGTTTGGGGATTCCTCCATATCGTATAAGACATGACAACCAAATCTCACAGAAGTTCGTGGATTTCGCACAGTTTTGATCTCTTGGCTTATACTTTTGTACGCTAATGGTGACAAATATGTTGGCTGTTTTTAAGTCTTACATTTTTGCAACGGCATCCTTCACTTCTCCCTCGATTTCTTTAGTGGTTTTTTCGGGTTTTTGTTTCCATGATTTGGTGATGTATATTACTCTCGTGTTATGGACGTTTTTGTCATTACCACTGCTCTTCAAAAGCAGTGAATTTGAAGTTTCTTGGAAGTAAATAACACAAGGTGAATATATGCAGTCATATATGGCTAGAATAATTGCTTTGCCATTTTATATTTGGATGTTGAATTGGGTGCGTCGTTTATTAGCTGCAGTTAGTCGTACTTGTGTTTGATTTGTCACGATTGATATTTAGTACCATGATATGGGCGCCGAAGAGCTAGTTTTAAATAGTACATGACTAAGATTTGGATTACAAGGTCAATTGATCTTTTGGTTTTCATTTGTTGGATATTCAGTGTACATTGTTACTACATACTCTAATACTGTAATAAAAATCTAACATGTTGTAATATAATATATTGGGTAAAGTACGAGCAACTTCTGAGGTAAGAACTAAATAACGTATAAACCCTTGTGGTGTTGGTAATTAGAAGTAATCCTTGAGCTATTTCTCTGCCTTACAATTACACTTTTACGGAGTTGTAAGCAACGGAACTTGGAGATTATGTGGAATATTAGTTATAAATTTCAAAATCTACCCTTGGGGGTAGAGATGTAATCTACTCCAAGGGGCTGCTAGACACCCCTATGTTTGGAACTTATATATGTGGGAATTCATTTTGTTAAATGAACATTATTATGTCTCTTGACTAATAAGGGCACAAAGTTCACTTGCACCCCTGAATTATGAGTGTGTCGCAAACACACCCTTCAATTATGAAACGTACTAAATAACTTCCTATCATTTGCATTCTTTTTAAATATGGTGATGTCACTTCTTTCTTGTTACCAATATTTATTATAGCATTTGTTCCTTTTTTTTTTTGACTTTTTACCCATGTATTGGCTATATATATATATATATATATATATATCATTTTTAGCTTTATTTTCCCTATTTTTTCATTTGAAACTAACTGTTTTTTGCTTTTTAATTTCACTATAATATCCAACTCTACTTGTCATCACGAGCTCAATTCCATGTTGCAATCCTAACTAAACCACATTAATAACTGAATACCTATTTTTTGTACTTAAATCAAGTATCTCAAAATAGGACATCAAATCAGAGTAAATATCTTTCAGTGTCAGTCAAACCCTCAACATTATTTTTTTGTTCGAAACCCCAACATATTCAAACTCCTTGAAAATGCATGCATGATGGATTTTAATTACAACAAGTTGATCTGCCATTATAACCTTAAAAAAATAATATGTTCTAGTTAATAAAATATTAAAATAAGCTAGACAATTGCTTAAAAAATCCTCCAAGTACTATTTGGTAAACGAGTTATGTTGGGAAAAAAAAAATAAAGGAGAGGCTGATTTTGTATTTCATATTTTGGCTGAAATATTTTCTTAGTACAAAATTTCACATATGTTTCTGAGAGACTACAAGTGGGTGTAAGATTATAATTGCAGAAGAAAACATTAAATAACTAATGTGTTTATATTTTTGTAAGCTCGACGAAAAAATGTAGCAGGTATTTGGTACGTCTCGTAATTGACGGGTGTGTATGTTACACATGCCATAATTTAGGTGCAAAGTGAAGTTTGCCCTAAAATTAATATAAATTAAATTATTAGTATATAAATATCAATACCTCTATTTATATGAAAGTAGTTATTTATGTAAAGGGGCAATTTGCTACATGTCCCTCTATATTATAATTTATGTGTGTAAATCCAAGTCAAAATTTAATGTTTTAATAAATTAATAATATTTATTATGGCAAAAATACCCTTAATTAAATCAAACCAAATCCCCAAAAATCTCTCTATCATAACAAATTCCCAAACATCCCTCTTCAAAATATTAACTAAAACAAATAAATTAATTCATAACAAAAATATACAATTTATTTTACAAACTCATACTCTAAAAACGTCACCGCAGCCCCACCACCGCTTATGATCCGGGAACTGCAACCTCTATGACTCCACGAACTGCAAATAGCAAACTGAAAATTAGATTTTATATTATTGAATTGCAAACAACAAAATACCTATGATTTCGCCAAACGGAAACAACAAACTGAAAAAACAAATTTCATAATTCGTATTACTAAAATACAAACAAAAATTTACCTATGACTTCGCCAAATGCAAACAGCAAACTGAAGAAAAACATTCACCAAAACTTGCATTATTGAACTGCAAGCAATAAACTACCTATGACTTGGCCAAACGCAAACAGCAAACTGAAAAAAAAAAATAAAAAAAAATCAGCATCATTAAAAACATCAACCAAAAAATTGTTTATAGAACAATTTGCAAACAACAAAAATATTAAACAAAATGTTTGTAAAATGTAACTTAAGACATACCTTGCAAATTGTAAACCAGAGGAATCAAATCTCAACATCAAACGCAATTCTTCAAACAACAAACGAAAATAAACCAACTGCAAACGGAAATTGCTAACAACAAACGATGGGAGGTTCTACATACGAAAAACACAATGCGAATTTGGCTAGGATTTTGGATTTCTGATTTTTTTTGGGAGGGGATGTTTGTCGTCCTCTTTAATTCTTTCACAAAGAAATCCTCTCATAATCTATTAAGATCCTTGTTTTTTTTCATCTCTGTAATATTTCTTCATTAAAAAAAAGAAAACGAAAAAGAAAAAAAAAGAGAAGCATGAGAGAGAGAGAGAGAGGCGTGAGAATTGGGATGCAGAAGGAGAGAGAGATGAGAAATTATATAGGGGGAAAGTAACGTGAGATTGGAGAGAGATGATATATAAGATTTGTTTTCTTATTAATTGAGGGTGTTATGGTCTATATACTAATTATTTTAAGTTATTTATATTAATTTATTGGGTCAAATGACCTATGCCTATATTCATCTAACAACTAGGATCTTTAGCCATATAAGTCCAAAATAAGGGGTATCTAGCAAATTTCCCCCTATATAAAATACTGGAACAAATCTCAAATATCACTTTTTCTCTCCTATCTCTTAGGTTTATCTCAATCTAACATATGGGTTGGACTTATTGTAAATAGAAATATGTAGGCTATTTTGGGAATTCATAATTTTATAGGTTAATTTGAAATGAAAATTAATGGGTAAGTTGATGTGCAGTAAATTTTTATTTCACGGGTATAACTCAAATTCACAACTTTTCATAATACACGTTAAGGGGAAAAAAACCCGGGGCCGCGATACCCCTAGGCTACCAATATATTAAAGGGGTTATTTTACATACCCCCATAGCCATCAAATAAACTAGGGATAAATCTAAGCCCAAATCATTTTTTGACATATCCCCCTAGAGAAGCAAAAGTACTATACTACCCTTATATGCAATTTTCGGCCAAACTGCATTCAGTATTTCTGCACCTACATTTATCATTTTCGCTGATTTATTTATTATTATTTTCTCTTTTTCTTTTATTTTCTTTTCTTTTAATAATAAACGTGTTTGTTATATATATATATATATATATATATATATATATATATATATATATATATATATATATATATATATATATATATATATATACATATATATATATATATATATATATATATTTTTAAAAATATAAAAAAAAAATATATATATATATATATTTTTTTTTATAATTTTTTTTTTTATAATTTTTTTTTTTAATTTTCAAAACAATATACTTACTGTACTGAAAATAACTACATGTAACTATAGTACCTGTAGTAATCCGTAGTTACGTTCATTTCCAATATTTTTAGTTGATCAATTGTATACACACACGAATATTGGTTTATACAAAGTAAATTCATAAAACCCCAACAAAAATTTACAAATTTCAATATTTTTATTATAAATCTCCTCAGAACCAATAAAATACAAATCGAAAATACACAAATATACGCATATGTAACTACATGTTACTATAGTAATGTATAGTAATGTACAATAATGTATACAGTCTGTTGAACAAAGCAGATGTAACTACAAACAGAAATTTTGACACCTTCAAGGAAAGGATCAATGGTCTTCATTAAGCTGTAATTGCAAAATCAAAACAAAAAAAAAATTACTTTAATGCAAATCAACAAAATTTGAAGAAACATCAAAACACTCAAAAAATCAACAAACACTAGGAGATCGAGAGATAGAGAGAGAGGCTATTGCTGAAAAATGCTACAGATTTTAAATCAAACAGATAGTGACTGTTCACCCCCTCGCCTCCTACCAAAACCCTAGACGCCGCTAATAACCACCAACGGTTCCGTGCGCCCACAAATGCAAAAAAAATATAGAAATAAATCTGAGAACACAAAAGTAAACGAAATTTTCCTCAAATTACAGATCTTGAAAAAAGGAATCCAACGGTGGGTAGCCCGTCAAATTTCGACGGGTGGAACACAAAACAAAGCTCCGGCAAGACCACCGTCGTCGAATGAAAAAAAATTGCAGAAACAGATCAGCGCTCCAAACTGAATGAAATCACCACCAAAAGAAAGAGCTCAACGAGAGGAATCCAACGGTAGTTAAACCATCGAATTCCGATCACCAGAGAGAGAGTTATGACTCCGGGAAGCATTTTCGCCGGTGAGAGGTTTGTGGAGGCGGGATTTTGAATCTGGGAGAGGAAGAGAGAGACCGAAATGTGTTGGGCTAGGGTTTAAAACTGATTTTAAAAGGGTATTATAGGGACTTCAAGTAGCCTCGGGGGGTATGTCAAAATATTTTCGAAATGAGGGAGGTATTCCCTAAAGTGTAATCTACTTGGTAGTTAGTTCTATATAATATGGAAATGAGGGGGTCTACAAAATAATCCCTATATTGACATACACACCATGGTTCCATTAACTAATGCTCATCAGTAGTTTTTTGGAATGTTCGTAACATTATTGAACTGTATTATCTAGGAAAATGACAAATTATGGCCATTTATGAGGTACGTTAAATTATGAAGAAAAAAAAACCCATCTTGTTTGGATAATTAGAACCACTCCTTAATTATTTGTTATATGAAAAACCCTTTTTAGTAAGTACAGTCGACAATGTGTGGATGGACGTGTAAGAAAATACATAGTCGATGAATTATTATAATTACCCAAACAAGAGAGATTTTTTCGTAATTTAACTTTACTTTTAGAGGTGGCCGCAACTTGCACGAAAAGAAAATAAAAAA